GATAGGCAGCCTCCATGTCTTTTACTATATCATCTGCTGATAAGCCTGTTACTGGAGCAATAATCTCACCCAGAGCCTTCTTCAGATCTTCTTTTTCAGTTTCAGGCACTCCCTGAAATCTGAGAATCATATTAGCTTTTTCCATTTGGAGCTGTAACAAATGGGTTTTCTGAAGTTTTTGTGTTGTTTCCACATCCGTCACTCTTTTCTTCATTTTCTTGTTTGCGGTGTCCCTCTCTATAAATTTCTCAGTTACATGCTCCACTTTCTTTTCCGTTTCTGCCAGCTGATGCTGCTGTGATGTGAAGTTTTGGTTTAGTGTGGCCAGTTGCTGGTTAATTCCACCGAGTTGTTCCAATACCGCTAACAACTTCATGACGTCTGCTCCCTCTTCTGGTCTTGGACTCTGGCTGCCTGGTTTCGGTTTAAACGTTCCTCAGGAAGCCGCCATGTTCCTCTTTGTTTACACTTTCAAACCACTTTGCCAGGGCTCAAAAGACTCATTGTTTCACTATCGGAACTCAAGTAAGTCTCTCAGAATAATTCCACTGTTTATTCCCCCCTACCCCCTTCGTTGCATTAATCTGTCCATGCGCTTAAGAGGCATCCCTCCTTGCGCTCTGCTTTTCCCACGGGGGGGTACTCCGTTTTATCAAAATAGTCTGTTTACTTCGAACTCACGTTCATTGTTGGTCTTATTTCATACCTCACTCTCTCATTCGTTATTCCGTTCGATCTCCTGCGCTTGTCCCGGTCGAATTAGCTTGTACCCAAAGGTCACTCAGCGGTAGGACCATCAGGGCAGAGGGAAGCCTCTATTCTCTGGCGTCAAGCCATCGAAGAGGCTAACCCTCAAAAGCCTCCTGGCCTGGAGCCCATCACAGGGGCTCCGTGGGGGTGCCACTTGAGGTAGCACCCCTCCGTGCCGCTGGTGTGCTAGTCGCCTCCCCACAGGCTGGGGAGAGTGACCGCCATCGCCAATCCACAATCCGGAAGTCCATGCCAGCTGTTCTATATGTATGACAAATAAAATTGCTGACAGTGGACATCCTTGGCATGTGCCACAGGTTAATACAAATGCTTTAGATAAGTGAACATTCATTTACAGTACTGGTCTTGGTTAACAATATATTGTTTGAATTGTTGTTAAAAATGGCCTAATA